TTCCATCATTTGTTTTCTAAATGGAGCATAAGCGTAGGAGTTCAAATAATCCTTATTTTACTTAATTTAATAACGACCCCGAGGCACAAGACTAGTGATGCTGGCAATTCCAATATGCCAAACAGAAGCGTATAGTGCTTCCTTTAAATGAAAGGGTAAAAGTTCTTGACTTCATGAGGAAATTTAAAAAAGCACATGCTGAGGTTGCAAGATCTATGGTAAGAATAAATCTTTTATCTGTGAAACTGTGAAAAAGGAAAAGGAAATTCACACACAGTATACATAGGGTTTGATACTATCCATGGTTTCAGGCATCCACTTGGAGTCTTGGAACATATGCCCTGTGGATCAGAGGGGACTATTGTACATTCAGAAATACAGATGAATCTCACAAACATGCAGAGCAAAAGAAGCCAGTCTCCAAAGTTTATACTGCACAATTCAGTTTATATGAAGTTCTAGGTCAGTAGTAATCCATGGCGAAAAAAAATGAGAAGAGTAATTATCTCTGGCAGGTAGGGGATTACTGGGAAGGCGCATAAGGGATCTGTGTGTTGATAAATGTGTCAGTTACACAAATGTACGCGATTGTTAACATCGAATTGTATTAAGTATTTACTTCACAATATGTAAATGTTATCTTTAAAAAAATGAACAGTAAACATCCTAAACTCTAGTAAGTTTGCTTTTTACAAAGATACAGGTTAACAATTCTTAAATTTCTGTGTGTTTTGGGATTCAGCAAATGAGTAAGTATATTGAAGAAAACAGGAACCAGGTTTCTTAGTGTTGGCGAAGGGAGTTAAAATATGGAGATGGAGAAGAACAGAATGAATCCTGAGATGTTGGACTAAATTAAACATGTCAGTATGAATCCATTGTTAATACTGACAGATACGAAATACGGTACATACATGCAAGTGTGTCAATGAGGGCAAGTGTGAACACGAGCAAATATCAATCTGTGCAAGTGTATTTCATAGCTCTGTCTACCACGATAGCCTAGAATCAATGATAAAAAATTCATAGCATAGATCTTTGTTTCTAAGTAACATTCTTGATTAAAAGGAATCAGGGCTCCTTGGAGAAATGGCTAATTCCCGAGTTGGAAAAGGGAAAGGATGAGATGAGTCTGGAACATTTTACTGTGCCACAAAGTAAGAAACTGCTCAAGAAAAGATAACAACATGTGGAAAGGACATAGTGGTCAACTGAACAGCTTCCCACTGGCCAAATCTGGGATAAATTGAGCAAAAAAATGAATGATGATACTAATACATTACGGTCCATTGAATAAGAATTCCTTACTAAATGCAATGCATGATCCTGAATTAACCAGGAAAAAAAACAGCCATAAAGACATTGAGTCAACTGATGAAAATTAAATATGGTCTGTGCATTAGGTAATAATATCCTATCAGTGACAAATTCCCTAATTTTGGTCACTATACTGCGGTTGATAAGAGAATGGCCTTGTTCCTAGGAAATACACACTGAAGTATACAGGGGTAAAGAAGCATGTTACTACTTACTTTCAAAAGGTTTAAGAAAAAATATGCATTATCTATATAAATACATACAGACTGATTAAGCAAATGATAATGCAAGATAATGGTTGAATCTGTGTAAAAGGCATAAAGAAGTTCCTTGTAGTATTCTTGCAACTTTCTTTTGTGAATTTGAAATTATACCAAAATTAAGTAACAAAAAAATATGTGCAGTATAATTAGAGTGCCTGCTCTCAAGGTCTTATAGCGCAGGTCTCAGTGATAAGCATACAAGAGACAATAAATGTTTATTAAAGGTAAGAATGTATGGCTTTTCTTTTTTAAAGAAGAAATATAAAAGTTAAAGTGAGAAGCATCTCTTTAGCTTAAGATTTACATTTTTTCCATTTATTATAGAGTTACCCCTCCTATGTGAGAAACGCCCTATTCTCTCCAGACTTTAGCAATCACTGCCTTGAACTCTGACTGGCTTGCCTATGGCCTTGATTTGGCCCTTCTTATTACATGTTATTTGGAATCGTTCCGTTTTTATGTACATATCCCACCTCCTAACTGGATTGTAAACCCTGTGAAGGCAAGAACCATTTATACCATTCGGTATTTTCATTAGCTTAATCAGTGTCCTAAATATGCTTAACAATGCTTAATAATTAGCTGTTGATATTACGGTTTTTTAGCTACTAGTTTAAGA